AGGGAGAGAGAGGCACTTGCGCTTCCTCTCTCTCTCTTTCCTCTCTCTTTCTCTTTTTTTTCTCTTTTCCCTCTCCCTCTTTCCTCTCCCTCCCTCTCCCTTCTTTCTCTAGGTGAGGAGAGGGGGGGGCAGAGGGCACCGAAGGGGCGGGGAGGGGGGCAGAAGGCAGAAGACCCCCTGTTGCCGCTGGAGGCAGCCAGCTCCACTGCCCACCGGGACTGCTGGGACACCCCAGCTCACGGTCACATTGGCAGGCCATCCCACATACCGCTGGAGTCCCCAGGCTCAAGTCGGGGCCACAGGGCATCTGCGGAATGCCCCACCCATCAGCTGCATCGCCAAACCTTCTCCCGCGCCGCTGGCATCCTTGGTCGGAACTGGGGAAACGATCCGCCTCCCGCCAGGACCAACGCTGGAGCCTCCCATGCTGCCAGTAGGTCTGTCATGTTGGAGGAGCTGGAGCCGCTCCGCACCGTGCAGTGCTCCCAGCGATCCGCAACCCACCAGCGTTGCCCAGGGAATGATGTCCCCGCCAGCCCAGCCGGGACTGCCGCATGGGGGGCAGGAGGAAGAAGGGGGGAGGAGGAGGAGGACAAGGAAGCCGGCGCCAGTTTCCAGGAGGAGGCGCTCCCATGGGTCTGACTAGGGTTCTTCTGCTGCTGGTTGGAAAATTCCTCCCCCCTCCCTTTCTCTCTCTCCCATCTTCTGCTCACCTCACATTCTTCACTGACAAAGCAGCTGGGACTCCAGCGTGCCTTCCTGGCCAGGTAGGCCAATGGTCTCGCGGCTGGGGATCGCAGAGGCTGTTCTCCCTCAGGGCCGAGGCTTGCGGGAAGCCTGGCCCGCTCAGCTGAGGCTCTAGTGGGCTGCTCCCAGCAGGGATCCTGGGGCTTCCCCACATGGTTCCCCGGCCACGTGCACCTCGGAAGGGGCCAGCCAGGGAAAGGGACTTCCTGGCCGCGCTTCTCCCAGAGGGCAGAGCACCCGGGTGCAGGGCCAATCAGGAGGGGGCAAATCTGCATGAGAGAGAGAGAGAGAAGCACAAGTGCCTCTCTCTGTCTCTGTCTCTCTCTGCAAATGGCGGAGGAGGCTCGGAGCTGCAGGGGAAGGCTCAAAAGTGTCCCCAAAACTTCTCACTCCATCACCCGCATATCGCCCCCTTTTTGTTCCTTCGCCCCCATGTCACCCCTTTTTGTTCCATTGCCCCCCTGAAAAATAAAATTGCCCCCTGGGGGGCGATATCGCCCAGGTTAAGAACCACTGTGTGGATTAAGCATCTCCAATAACAGACATGGGAACGATTTGTCTAAATCCAAAGAAATTTCCTGCCAGCCAAGGATGCCAGTCCCTGAGCTACAAGAATGAAGGAGGGGGACAAACTCATTAGTAGGCAAGTGCATATATTCAAATTGTAGTGAAAGCTTTTTGCTGGGCTGTATGTCATAGTTATAAATTTCAAGTGTATTCAAATGGTTTATTGAGAATTCCCAGCCTCTTGCTGTGAAATAAACAGGTAGTGTTGAGGGCTTCTTTCTTTTGAAGCTTGTTAATTGAATTACTAGCTGGCTCCTGGGAATAACCAAAGGCTGGCGCACTGCAAGAATTTAACAAGCTTGATTGAAGACGGCTTTGAATCTCTCCCTCGTAGATGACCGATTGTTACCCATTTGCAGCAAGGTGTGTGTGTATTTGTGTGTGTGTGTGTGTGTGTGTGTGTATGTGTGTATGAATACTGTGTGTGGATATGGATGAGACTCAAGTTAGAACCAGACGTGCAATTTGATTTTAGCATACTTCATCAAAGTTTGGAGTCCAACAAAGAGGACAATTATTTAAAAATTTTCCATACACCTTCCTATTATAAGAGAAATAGGTACAATTAACAATTAGGTTTTAAATGAGAGTTTAAAAATAGATAAAGCAATTAATCACAACCTGGAATTTCTTTCTCAGAAGCTAATGTTTAGGGGCGTACATAATTCATGTACAAAAAATTAAAATATCAGCATTTCATACCCAATTGATCCATATTGTCAAAATAGATTAGGATTAGGTGTACCTGTGGCTTTGGTGATTTGCACACTTCTCCCTTGGTAAACAGTTAATTTATTGTCATTGTTTTTGTTTTTAATATTGTAACCTGCCCCGTGCCCTGATCCTTTTGATTTGTATGGGCTATACAGTGGTAATCTCTCTCCCTCTCCTCCCCCCACTCTCTCTTTCTGGATTTCTATTAATTATCAGTAAAGACAAACGTTAACGCAGCAAAGCTTATGATTCTGAGATTCCACCAAACAAGAGTCTCTGCACCACTTCTGAATCATAAGGATGGACTTTTGATTTATTCATCATTTAAAATGAAATTGCAGGTAATATAGGAGACAAGTAGACTCATTTCCCACATGTTAGATTTTTTTAAAAAAATGGGCATGAGAATCAAAATTTGAGTCACTGTGGAAGAAGTCATTTAAGGGAGGAACCCATTGATCTGGAATGGAATCAAAACAAAGAAGAGGATTATTTTGCTCAAGCATGGAGAGTCACTATCAACCCAGGATGAAAAGGACACACAATCTGAATAAGGAATAGAATTTTTTAAGTATATAATTTGTCTACCAAGCCATTTCCTAATGCAAATCAATGCATACACCCAGATCTTGCTTTGACCCCCATAAAGAAAGTCTTCTTAAACCTGGTGTCTGCCAAAGATGACTGGTCAGGCCAATTGGGCAAGAATGTCCTGGCACATGTAGGGCAAATGTGTAGACGCTGCAGTTGTTGCATTGATGGCTCTAGACTTGTGCAATTTATGTTGTGTTTCTGCAGTGTACCTTACTTTGTAAACTTGTCAACATTCATGGGTGAAGCTACCCCAGCTAGAGTGATTTTGTGCCAGCATTTCTCAGTTGGTTGTATCCATGTCAAGTGACTTCAGGGAGACCTTTAATGTATCTTTCTAACTTTATTTTATTTATTAGTTTTTTTTTTTATCTTGCCTTTATTACTTCATAGGTAACTCAAGGCACTAAACATACATAATACCTGTTCTTCCTCTTTTCCCCAGAACAATAACCCTGTGAGGTAGATGGGGCTGAGAAAGAGAGACTGGCTCAAAGTCATCCATCTGGCTTTCATGCTTAAGGTGGGACTAGAACTCAAGTTTCCTGATTTCTAGGCCAGCACCTTAACCACTTTGAAATGCCGAGAATCTGCAACAGATCTGCAATTCCTTGCCATACAGTTTAGAGGAAGGTCTGATGGAACTGGTAAAAATAAGCCAATTCTCTTTTTAACTGGTGTCCCTCTCAGCCTGGGCAGTTGATCCTCAAGTTGGGTAAGAAGGCAGGTAAACCATAATACTATGAATCAGCTAACCCGTGGGATTGAAGTCAGTTTGGCCCCTCTGCTTGTTATGTCTCCAAATCTGGGAGGAGGGCAGTGTGCAAATCTCCAGCACTGGAAGCTGATAAGAAACTCTTGAGTGCTAAATCTCTGATCAAAATGGATATGGGGGAGAGCTCCTTCATGCATCATTGCCTTGACTTCCAACACAAATTCAATTATTGGTCAGGTGCCTTTTGGGGCCATCCATACAAAATAATTGTACAAAGCTGGTGAGTTTTGACAGATGGCCATTTGGTTTAACCATTTGGCAAAACTTGCCTCCAGCCCTGTCCCTCCTATTAGTAAGAGAGTGATCAATTAGTGTTTCCCCATTGAAATTTACTGAAAGGGGAAGCATGTAAGCCCTTGGCGATAGGTGACCAATAAATTTAAATTAATGCATGTGTATACATGCATGAATAAATAAAATAAAATAAATTCTAGGAAATACCAATAGTTCCATTCCATAACATGCTCTGTACACAGTAAAGAAAGACATCACCATTATCAGGAATTGATATCTTTGACAGGAGAGAGACCGGTAATGAGGGCAGCCATTGTTATGCCGATATAATTTTGTGCTAGTGTAAGATCTTAATGGATGCCATTTACAGCTGAGTTAGAGATCCATAGAATATACCTTACACCCTGTGTGTAAAAGAGGAGTTCCTCATTTCAGGAATAAATACCATCACTGCGGTGTTTGTAAGTAATTACATATGAACTGACAAAGTTTAAAGAATCAAAAGGAACTTTTGTACTAACTTCAGTAGCAGTTGTAACAAGGGAACTTACTGATTTAACTTGTGTATTTTCTTTTAGAGGTTAATAAAATGTATTTTTTAAAAAAATATTTTAAAAATTCTGCTTATTTTTTATAAATAACTCAAGATGATGAAGCTACCTAATTCTTCCTCCTCCTCCTATTTCCCCCACAGCAACAACCCAGTGAGGTGGGCTGGGCTGAGAGAGGATGATTGGCCCAAGGACACCCATATAATTTTCATCCCCAAAGGCAGGACTAGAACTTAAAGTCTCCTGGTTTCTAGGCCAGCACCATCACCACCATACCAAATTTTAAAGCAGAATATAATGACTTCTGCCTGTTTTTGATGTTTTCATGCTATTAACAGGAAAACATCCAAAGAAGGCATAAGGCATAAACATTTTTTTCTTTAAGATACTAAAATTTGTATTTTGGTAGTCACCATAAGAATCTGTTTGCGTGTGCATGCCCTATCTTCTCTCGCTATCTCTAAAATATATACCTAGAGTTATATGTGTATTTAGTATTATTCTGTCCTAGGTGAGATGTATAAGATATATGATAGTGGATTAATAAGACTCAAAGGAAATGAAATTTGTCTTTGTGAACTTTATTTGTACAGAAGCTCATCTGCACCTTGCCTTTAAACTGCATTTAAATTTAGGTGTATATTTAAAATAAATGTATTATTTCCCCAGAAAATAATTTCAGAATCCAGTTGTGATTGGAATTAGTCCCAATTCTCCTCCCCATTAGCTCTCTCCCCCTACATTTTTATTTAAGGCATGTGAACAGGTCTGACCTCCTTACAAAAATATGTTTGTCTTTTTTTCCCCTGCTGAATAAAAAGATGATTTTGGAAGATAACATCCACCTCCAGAAGGCCATCTCAATTTGCCCCTGCCTATTAGAAGGTCAGTGCACACTTGGGATGTTGCAAGGTAATCTCAAGAGGTCAAGAAAGTGGCAAATTGCAGACATATTGGACATGGGAAAAAAATTCAGTGATGTCTATTAGTAGTCAGCGCAGCTTTTGGAAGCAGTTAACTAGGGCCAGCTTGCTTTGTTAATAAGAGAATAGCACAAAGGATAGGGTTTTGGAATCCATATTGTTACAGAAAGGTGGAAAGGCAAAGAGATTATTCTGTATTTCTAGTGTTGTGTCAGAAGTGAGGACGTGTCTTGGCAAGGAATGAGGATATTTGAGATGAAAGTTGGATCAGCAAATACATTTCTTGCTAGGAATAATTTAGTAAGTTTAGAGTAAGCACAGGGCAGAATTTCTTGAGTGACTGGTATGGCTAGTCTAGAGAATAGAAGGACAAGGGGTGACATGATAGCACTATTCCAGTATTTGAGGGGGTGCCACAAAGAAGAGATGGTCAACTTATTTTCCAAAGCACCAGAAAGCAAAACAAAAATCAATGGATGAAAACTAAACTAAGAGAGAAGCAACCTGGAATTAAGGAGAAATTTCCTAACACTGAGAACAATTAACCAGTGGAACAGCTTGCCTTCAGAAGTTGTGGGTGCTTCATCACTGGAGGTTTACAAGAAGAGACTACTAGATAGTCACTTGTCTGAAATGGTATAGGTCAGTGATGGTGAAGCTTTTAGAGACTGAGTACCCAAACTGCAACCCAAAACCCACTTATGTATCATCGGGTGCCAGGTGGGCGTGGCCCATTGGGTGGGCGTGGCTGCGGTGGTAACGGTAGACTGGGTGGGACTAAAAAGTTCAATCAATCAATTCCAACTTTGCGAGATCTTTTTTTTCCTGCGAGAAGTTGAAATTTTGAACCTTTCTCTTTTTTTTTGCACACGGTGGCAGAGGCCTAAAGCGAAAAGATTTTATAAAACCCAGCTGAAGGCCTAGGACTGGGGCGATGGCGCGCGTGCCCACAGAGAGGGCTCTGCATGCCACCTGTGGCACGCATGCTATAGGTTCGCTACCACAGGTATGGGTTCTCCTGCTTGAGCAGAGGGCTGGACTAAAAGACCTCCAAATCTCTTCCAGCTCTATTCTGATTGATTGATCAGTTGACTGCTGAGAAACCTATGCTTGTATTTGGAAGCAAAGATTTTGAAGTTGATAATTTTGCTGCCATATGTACTGGGAATACTATAATTTTCTCTCTGGCTGTTTTAATCCTAACGAAAGAAAATTAGTTTGCTCTCTTTCCTTCTCCTAATCCAACTAACTCATTTCTCCCCCCCCCCATACCTTCAGAACCTGATCAGAAGGGGTTACATCTAAGAGACACAAGCTCTTTAATTCTCCATAGCTACTTAAAATGTATAATAACATGAATCACACAGGACAAGAGACCTAATTTGTATTCAAATCTGTATGCTCTGTATTCATGTTATCTAATAAGCAGGAGGAACCAAAGAATTTTGCTATTTAACTTGGCTTCAAGATAGTGTGCTGATTTCAAGCTTGTCTTGATTATTTCGTTCCTAGAATAGGAGGCCTTGTTTTGAATGTATTTTGTCTATTCTATTTCTGAACCACATAATTTGCTAAGCTCTTTATTTACCAGCCTCCGTTTGCTTATTCAGATCTTGACTAACATTTTTCATCTATTTTCCTCTTATTCCAAGGATTGTGTTGTGATATGTAAGGTTCAGATCAACTCAGAATTGACACACACTCAGCTGAGACCGTTTCCTGTTTTACAGAAAGAAATGGCTTTGAGTAATCTTAGTTGAGCTGAGCAGTAAGTACAACTGGTCCTTGACTTACAGCAGTTCGTTTAGTGACCATTTGACATTACGACGGGAGTGAAAATGTGACTTATGACCATTTTTCATATTTACTGCATCCCCATGGTCATCTGATCAAAATTCAGTTGCTTGGTAGCTGACTCACATCTATGATGGTTGCAGTGTCCCAGGGTCAGGTGATCCCCTTTTGCGACCTTCTGAGACGCAAACTCAATGGGGAAGCCAGATTCACTTAACAACTGTGTTACTAACTTAACGACTGCAGTGATTCACTTAATAACTGTGGCAAGAAAAGTCGTACAATGGGCAAAATTAACTTAACAACAGTGTTGCTTAGCAACAGAAATGTTGGGCTCAATTGTGGTTGGAAGTTGAGGGCCACCTGTAGTAGATTAAACCCCGAAGTTGAAAAAAGGATCTCCTAGGATTTTTAGAAAATAGAAATAGTGGATGGCTATTACCTTGGGGCTTTATTTAAAAAATGGCCTCATCTATTTCCCTACCCAAGAATAAGCTGGAATGGGACAGCAAACCTCACTCCTTTGCCTTCTAATAAGTGAGTGTTTTATGACTAGCTGTGGTAGCCATTTTCTGAGTGTTCATGACAAAATCCTCAAAATTCTGAAGTGCCAACTACCCAAAAGGCTACCAGTCATTTTCTAAAGGAATTGGGATCATCTGACCTTAGAAAAACCATACTGTATATTTGTCTAAAAATCCTTGATAGGGCAATAGTTGGCTCTTTTCTTCTGCAAATGTCCACATCTAATATCTGATTAGATGGAATAAAGCAGGGTTCCCCAATCCCCGGGCCACAGGCATGTCCCGGTCCATGGGCTGTTAGGAACCGGGCTGTGCAAGCAGCGGGTGAGCTTGCAAAGCTTCAACTAAGCATGCAAAGGATCTAGGTTGCATGTGAAACCACCTCCTCCTCCTCGAGTCCGTGGAAGACAATTTTTCTTCTGAAACTGGTCCCTGGTGCCAGAACATTGGGGACCACTGATACAAAAGAAGCCCTACTTCCCAGGAACCATGACAAGATAGATAGATAGATGGATAGATCGATAACCTTTATTGTTATTTTTTTTTACTGTGGGAACAATGGCACACGTTAAAAAGGAAATTTTGTTGCTTGCTCTCAAAGTGTACACATACATAATACACATTTAAGCATACTATATACAACGTATGTATAGACCTACATACAAGGACATTTACATAGTTTGTTACCCAGGTATTCTTAGAACAATGATTAGACTTTATTGCATTTTTAATCCTCAGTAATCTGCATTTTATTCAGGATAGAGAGATCACTCTTTCCTATTGACTTGCTTTCTTCAGAAACAGATATTTTATTGTCCTCAACCAAGTGGGACAGATGTGATGTTGATATCAATATCCTTGATGTGCTTGCCAACAGTAACAATTATGTCTACTATTAGACATACACTCTACAATGGACTTGACTAAAACGAGTTTGAATAATTGTTCAAAGTACTGTGGAAAGTTAGCTGTTGTATTAGCATTTTGTGTCAACTTAATCACATCATTAAGTGTTACTTGGTTTATTGGGGGGGGGGCACTGCATCTTATTTGAACACAGTGAAATTTAGAGCATTATTAACCCAGTGAGATCAATAAAAAAAAAGCTAGTAGCGGCATCCATACAACATACAAATGTGAACCTTGGAGATGTAGTACAAATCCAGCCTGTTCATTTGATTTATGGTTCAGTGTATTATAATGACCCAGAAAATTGATTAATTCAATAAGCACATCAAGTGTGTTACATGAAGAAGTCACCAAGTTGGAGAAGAACAACATGTGGACCATCTATTCTAGCAGCAGGCTGTCTTCTAAGGGACAATGTCAGTCTGATCAAATGGGCAACAGATTCAGTTTGTAACTTGCATTCTTGGCTTTACCCTAAATGCCAGACCCGTACAGATAGTCCTTGACTTATGACCACACTTGAGCCCAAAATTTATGTTGCTAAGCAAGACGGTTGTTAAGTGAGTTTTGCCCCATTTTACGACCTTTCTTGCCACATTTGTTAAGTGAACCACTGCAGCTGTTAAGATAGTAACACGTCTGTTAAGTCAATCTGGCTTCCCCATTGACTTTGCTTGTTAGAAAGTTGCAAAGGGTTATCACGTGATCCAGGGACACTGCAACCATCATAAATATGAGTCAGTTGCCAAGCACTTGAAGTTTAAACAGTGACCATGGGAATGCTGCAGTGGTTATACGTGTGAAAAATGGAATTTTGTTTTGTAGGGTGTGTGTTCCAGCCTTGTCTTTTAGGATCCAGCATCAACTTGAAGTTATACTGAATACAAAGACTAATCACTGTCCACTCTGAGAAATGGCTAGCAATGCTCACAATGGCATTCTGGGGCTTGTTCAATCACTCTTGCTGAAGATCCACTGATCTTCTGGTTTAATTAACTTCTTCGTAAACACACACACACACACACACACACACACACAAAGGCACATCACCTCTAATTTATAAACCCCCAGTGCCCTGTGAAATGAGCCAGCTTTTATCCTTGTTATGCAGGGGGCTTTTGCCAAAAGTGCTGCTAGGGCCAAGAATATCAGGATATTAGTAATGATATCTGCTGAGAGATCAGGCCGGGAGACAAATGGATGGGGCTGGAGTTGGGACCTGAATGCAGAGCTGATATTAATGTAGGACGAATCACGCAGAAGGGAGGAGGAGAAGAAAAAGATTGCTTGGGAGGGATGCCCCTAATATGAGGCTGGAGATGGAACAGGAAGAACAGGAAGAGGGGGGACCACAAGTTTGAAGGTTTCCTTACATTAATGTCCTATTTTCTTGCTGCACATTATTGGCAGTCCTTGACTTAATACAGTTTGTTTAGTGACTGTTCAAAGTTACAGTGGCACTGAAAAAAGCGACCTATGATCATTTTTCACACTTATGATCATTGCAGCATCCTCATGGTTATGTGTTCAAAATTCAGATGCTTAGTAACTGACTCATATTTATGATAGTTGCAGTGTCCTGGGGTCATGTGATCGCCTTTTGCAACCTTCTGACAAGCAAAGGCAATGGGGAAGCCAGATTCACTTACCAACTGTGTTACTAACTTAACAATTGCTGTGACTCACTTAACAACTGTGGCAAGAAAGGCCTTAAAATGGGGCAAAATTCAATAAA